TTCTGTATTGAAAATTAGGATTATTTACACATTTTTGGTAGCGTTCAGGTGTATCAACCAGCTCAAAGTCAATGTGTTCTCTCACATTTTCCATAGTCTTGCCGTATACAGCGTTGTTCATTAATTTGTACATATCTTTTGAAAAGTCGCTTGTAGCGTCCTTTCGTTTCTCTGTGTTAAAGTCAATCCACGGTTTCAACCATTGCTTGTGTCTAAATTCTATTACTCTGTTTATTTTCTTGATTTTAAGTCCTTGTTTCAAATAGAATTTTAAAATGTCAATATGTAAAACATAATTTTGTTTATCCATAACATTTAGTATCAACTTGTTTGTTTTCTCATCTTTTGGAGCATGATTAAAATGATATGCTTTGTAGGTTTCTTTCTGATAATCACTAAGCATATCTGCTGATACACTCATAATTTCTGGTGCTAATGGGTAATCAGTATGTTTGTCGTGGCATTCTTTCGGATATTCTAAATCAACATCTAAAATATATCCTTTGCTACTGAATCACTATTGTAATATTTAATGTCTTCTTCTGAGAAATTATCTTTTACAAACTTAATATTCTTATATGGTAGTTTCTTACACATTGCCAGACCATAAAGATTATTAGCATCTAAATAATTGATGTAGGACGACGGCTTTGTTTCATCATAAGCATCTCCCATATACTTATTATTAGCAGTTGCTTTTCTCATTGAAACCTGACACATACCGCCTCTTAGTCCTTGCTCTATCATTTTATAAACTTCTTCATCGTGTAAAAGTTCAAGTTCAATTCCTGTTTTTAATAGCATCGCGTCCCAAGCAAAGTTAGGTAATGTGTAGTAATGGGCGGGGTCTAATTCATAATCAGTTAAACATTGTTTTCTGAAATTCTCATATACATCTGTTAATAATAATACATCGGTTTCTAAATATAAATCGTGATAATGACCGAGGTTTTTGATGTTAAAGTGCTTCCATATTAGTTTTGCTCTTTCATAGTCAGCATCGCTTATATCTTCTTCGCTTAATCTACTATAAAAATGTTTCTTTTCTGGTAGTTCAGTGTCATTAAATTTATTGAAGTCATTACAATAATCATAAGGATAAACTCCCTTTTCTGTCAGTAAAAATAAATCTTTTTCATTTTTTATGTATTTGCCTTTGACACTGTATTTAAAATGTTCCTGCCAGTTGTCCCTTAATTTATTATCTTCATATTTTGTTAATTTAACAAGTTTATCTAATGATGATGACAAGAAACTGAAACTATCCTTAAATTCAAGTCTGTTTAATGAAAAGGTAATAAACTTCTCACTGTTATGTGCTATTACTGATATTTGTTCTTTCTTTGTATTTAACTTTTCAAGATTAGAAATTATTAGGTGAGCATCATAGTTTTTAAAATTGTGAAAGAATACTGGTATATGATATTTTTTAAAGCAATAGTCTATATTGCATTTCATATGTGCCGCTCCTCTGTATAATCCAGTAAAGTGGCAATGGTCAGCAACTTTCTTTTTGGCTTCTACTCTGTTGTCAAAATTATCATTGCATAAGAAACACTTTTTAGCTTCTAAATGTTTAGTTTCATCTAAATCTGACATAATCATATCTTTTGGATTTTTCATTTGTTTCATTACATCGTCTCTAATATTGTTTAATGTATCACAAAATTTATCCATACAATCATCACCTCTATATAAAAATGGTTTCATTTCTCCACTGTAAGCATTAACAAGGTTAAGCATATAACCGCTGGGTTTATGATTTTGGTATGTTCCCTTTATTCCATCTGATGTTTCTGTTGTTAAACATTCAAAATCACCATAAATAACAAATGGGGCTTTCAGTTTCTTAAAATGCTTTTCAAACTTCATTGATGTTCCTTCTTCTGGCATTTTTGTTTGTTGAATGTCATTTGCCATACAACCTTTTATTAAGTGAGAATTTAAAAGTTTTTCTGACTTGAAACCGTGCTGACAAAAACTACAAAAAAACATTTTATTAGTTGTTTTGTTTGTTTGTCTTCCTGCTAATCTACTAAAATCTTTTATTAAAACATAGTGTTCGTTGTTGTTTTGTTCAATTCGTAACAAATTAATATGACAAGATGGTCTTTCAATTTTTGTTATTCTGTCTGCTCTGATGGTTTGGTTCTCATCTTCAACATAAACATTAACTGATATAGATTTGTTATTGATTTCTTCAAAATGGTCTATGTCATCATTGGATGCTGGAAAATTTACACCGTCCCATTGAATTAGACTTTCAGTAGTTATTAATTTCTTGTAGTGTCTCATATGTTGTGGATGGTCTTTCTTGAAGACTTCATAAAATTTACATAAAACGCAGTATTTAAAACATAATTCATCATCATTTTGAATGTTGATACATGCTTTTTTCTTTGAAATCCATTCTGGTAGTTCCATATATTTACCTGCTCTGTTCGGGTTGTATTTGTCATAGTGGATGGTGATTTTGTTAATCTTATTAATCTTCAATCCTGAATGTTTCAAAGGTGAGTTTTCAATTTGTAGTTCAATATCTTTAGGCATATTTTCCAATGCTTTTTTCAAGTCTCCTACATTCAAAATGTTGTATCTCCTACTCCTCATATCGTGTTTTATTTGTATATTTTCCTCAGTTGGTTCGTCTTCTCCATCATCATCATCTTGCTGGTTAACTTTATCAAACAGAACCTCAACATCAATCAGTAGTTTCATTGACTTTGCTTGTTGTAAAAACTCTGTTAGTTTCTTTTCTTGCCATAAAAGATATGTTAATCCTTTGTATCCCTTGAATGGTATGTTGGATATTGAATATGTGTTGGCGTACCCTTCCAATGCTGAAAATGTCTCTGATGTTTTTGCTCCTATTTTTAATCTGTATTTCTGGATTGTTTTAATGCCTCTCATTGTGTTTGATGCTTTTTTTAGAAGATGAAATCGTTTGAAACCTTGTGTGTTGCTGACTTGATTGAGTTTGTTTTGAAGTGATGAGGATATTGGTTTGTCTTTGTTGTAATAGTATTCTTTGTTGTTGATGATTAGTTTTTTCAATGGTTTGTTATTCTTCCCTGTTTTTATTTGACCTTCATTGTTAGATAATAGATATTCAATTACTGAACCCGTGCTGTATTCCCCTGCCATTTCTCTATACTATATAAGGTATTTTCTCTTTAAGTATATTTGGGTGGGGGTTTGTGTTGTTGGTTTTGATTTTGTGGGTTTGGGTTCAATGTTGAAATGTGGGTTTGGGGATGGACTGCATCATCAGCATCATCACTGCGGATGAGGCGAAGCCTTGTAAATTAAAAAATGGCACGACAGTCGCCTAAGGTATTGACGGGTATGCTTACGATGGAGCACCCTTTCGCTCCCCGTCACCTTAGATGACTGACAAAAGTGCTTTTGTGGGGGTTTTCCAGTTCAAATACCGCCGACGCCTGCCTGTGTGTTTCCTACGTTGGACACCTATTGCCTTCGTAGGGGGTGTTTGGTGCGATACTCCATTGGAAAGATGCCTTTAAAAGGGAAGGGGCAGCGGAAACATGTTTGGCATCTTTCCGGAGTAAGCACCCTGTTAAGGAAGGGGTTAAACAAAAATGGATTGAACCCTGAAGCCCTGCGAGCGACAAATCTTTTTCAAACATCTCAATACTGTATGTAATGAGCAGTTGCTCAATCAGGTCATGATCTTCATGACAATCCCCGAAGACGCTGGCTATTCGTCAGCAAATGACCTTGGTATATGCTCCGTCAAACATGCTTTGGGGGGCATATGGTGTATGCTCTTTGGGCATATGGTGTATGCTCTTTGGGCATATGGTGTATGCTCTTTGGGCATATGGTGTATGCTCTTTGGGCATATGTGTATGCTCTTTGGGCATATGTGTATGCTCTTTGGGCATATGTGTATGCTCTTTGAGCATATGTGTATGCTCTGGGGGCATATTTTTTACCTATAATTTTCCTTTTGATATGCTCTGAGGGCATATTTCTATGCTCTGGGAGCATATTTGTATGCTCTTTGGGCATATTGTATGCTGTTCGGTAATGCTGTGGGAGCATATGTCCATGCTGTTTGGTAATGCTCTTTGGGCATATGTGTATGCTGTTTTAGCATTGCTGTCGGAGCATATGTGTATGCTCTTTAAGCATTGGTCATGACATGGTTGTCAACCCAGAAAGACAACCATGATGTGGAAACAACACTTGAAATAGGGCATCCATTCAAGAGGACATGTTTTGGTCCTTGTTGGATGCTTCGGCTTTTTGCGTCTGTACACCTATTCGGACATTGACCTTGTCATACAACGAATTAATGTCAAAATTGTTGTCCTCATCACTGCAAGCATTGACGATTGCATCATGGACAATGTCGCAACTCTTGTTAATGGCATTGTCCAGATAGTCCCGCAACTTCATCATCTTCTTGACATCAGGATCAAACAATGCCACACACTCTATTTTCTTGGCGAGGTTGGTGCGGTCATGTCGTAAATATTTCATGAGGTCATTGAGAGAAGCGAGTGGGAAGCACTGGATGAAGCTGTCAAAATCAACACTGTCCATTTTCAAAGCGTTGGAAGCTGCCTTCAAAGCACACTCCACATCATGAGTAGCCACCGAAGTCGCCTTCTTTGTTGAAGATTTAAGGACAATCTTCTTCGTGGCGTTCTTCTTGGGCGGCATGGTTCACAGTGAGGGATAGATTGAAACAATCTAAAAAACAGTGAGGTAAAAACACCTGCGGTCATGTATGACAACGACATCAAGACAAGGTAATGCTCCATGTCTTCAATCTTCAAGGTACTCTCACGAGCACACATGAGCAAATACTTGTTTTACACACAGCAGATGTAGCGTTTCTGGTTTCTCCTACTGCTCAGTCAGCAACCGACATCTCTCAAACAGCTGTGAAGTGGTGAAAATGAACATGTGATGAGAGGCATGTTCAATCGACGGATGCTTCTTTGAGGTGGTCAAAACCTACCCTAAACAAATCAGTCATCTGACTCCTCACTATCAGAAGAGACCTCGCCGTTCTCCATGATGTCTTGGATGCTCGAAGCAATCTCGTCAGGGTCGCCTGCAATGGTTGCTGTGAAGTCCTCGCCCAAGATGTGCACCTGCTTTGATGTGGATGCCGGAAAGACGAAGGTTGCGACCATGTAGTCATCATCCATCACCTTGTAGGTTGACAAACAGCGCCTCGGGTGTTGTGAAATCTCAACCTCCTTGTAGTTCAACACACACTTCGTAGCATGAGTGCGAGGCAACCCCATGGCACGTACAATCTCACGGCGTAGGTCTCCCACAGTTGACTTCAACTGAACTGCCACGCGGAAAACCTGGTTGTTGTGGTCAATGCGTAGGTTCACACTGGTCTCCCTTTCCATCTTCTTCTCTTTCTTCTTCTCCTCATCCAAGTGCTTCTTCATCTTCAAGCGTTCCTCTTTCTTCTGGTTGCTTTCAAACAGCTTCACCTTCTTCTTCATCAGGTCCACGCGGTTGAACAAATGTTTCAGCACAATGCTGGATGACTGGCAGTGCTTCGCCAAGTCCTCAATGCTGGTTGTGCTTAGGAATTCATCAAACTTGTCATCATCCAACTGGTAGACCTTCACGATTGTGTCATCTGTGATGCCGACCGTGTGAGGAATTGATGAGGACGGAACATCTGTTGATGGCGTGAGGGATGCCATCACTTCTTCACCCTTGTTGGTGTAACCACCCTGCTTCAATGCCATGTGAGGAACAGCAAAGGATAGGGCGCAAGTGAATTGACAATGCCAAGGCGTCTTGAGTAATGGCAGCGAAGTCAAAACAACCATGTTTCATAATTCCAACCCTACAATCAAGAAAAGCCCTCAGCAATCAACACTGGTTAAGCGTATTGAAGACTGTACCCTTCTAACCCCCAGAAAGCTTAAAAATGGTCTGAAACCCGAACCTTGAAAATGATGAAATCTTAGACTGTTTCATAATGAAAAAATTGTAAAAAAATGTTGAGAAAATTTAGGAAAATTCCCCACAATCAACCTTTAGGTTTTGGACAAAATGGTTTGCTTGTTGAAAATGAACCCTGCCCCTGAAACCCTGAACTGAAAATACCCCACCCTAGAACCAACCTTATAACCATTTTTGGGGGGGGGGGGGGGGGGGGGGGGGGGGGGGGGGGGGGGGGGGGGGGGGGGGGGGGGGGTGGGGGGTGGGGGGGGGGGGGGGGTGGGGGGTGGGGGGATGGGGGGGGGGGATGGGTGGGGGGGGGGGGGGTGGTGGGGGGGGGGTGGGGGGTGGGTGGGGGGGGGGGGGGGTTAATTGGGATTTGGGTGGGGAGGGGTGGGTGGGGGGGGGTGGGGGTTAATTGAGGATTTGGGTGGGGAGGGGGGTGGGTGGGGGGGTGGGGGTTGATTGAGGATTTGGGGGGGGAGGGGAGGGGGGGGGGGGGGGGGGGAGGGGGGGGGGGGGGTTTTGCTGGCGGCCGCAGCAACGACGGATTGTTTGTTGTTGTTGTTGTTGTTGTTGTTGTTGTTGTTGTTGTTGTTGTTGTTGTTGTTGTTGTTGTTGTTGTTGTTGTTGTTGTTGTTGTTGTTGTTGTTGTTGTTGTTGTTGTTGTTGTTGTTGTTGTTGTTGTTGTTGTTGTTGTTGTTGTTGTTGTTGTTGTTGTTGTTGTTGTTGTTGTTGTTGTTGTTGTTGTTGTTGTTGTTGTTGTTGTTGTTGTTGTTGTTGTTGTTGTTGTTGTTGTTGTTGTTGTTGTTGTTGTTGTTGTTGTTGTTGTTGTTGTTGTTGTTGTTGTTGTTGTTGTTGTTGTTGTTGTTGTTGTTGTTGTTGTTGTTGTTGTTGTTGTTGTTGTTGTTGTTGTTGTTGTTGTTGTTGTTGTTGTTGTTGTTGTTGTTGTTGTTGTTGTTGTTGTTGATGTTGATGTTGTTGATGTTGCTGCTGCTGCTGCTGCTGCTGCTGCTGCTGCTGCTGCTGCTGTCGTTGTGACTATGTGCGTTGTTTGTTTTTCAGTGGTTGTTCTTGTGCTGAGTTTTGCTGTATATTGTTTTTGTGCTGTTATTCAAGGTTTTTTTCTTCTTTTTTTCTTTTTTTTTCGTTTGGCCTTGTTTCTTTGCTAGCGCCTGGACGTCGCCGTCGTATTTTCTTACTAGCTGTTTGCTGCAACACTAGCGCGAATCCGACTCACTGTCGACGTTTGCCTTCACTCGAAGTGTGTGGTGAGATACTTTTTGCACTGCAGGATGTTGAAGAACAGCTGTTGCACTACAACGGTAACGACCTAAAGTTGCTTCCTAGCAAGGAATGAGCCACGAAGCAAGTGTGCGTCGTTGCACACGGGCGCACCCTAGCTCGTTGTTGCCCATCTGCACAGAAGAAATATATATTTTATGTTACTCTATTTTGCAAGGGTTTCTAATTTGGTCACCCCAGTGTTTGAGGAGTTCTGATCATCCTAGCCTTAATTCCCAGGTTGCTTTCTGCGATGGATCTTCGGAAACTGTCGCCGAGGTCTCAGGCAGGCGTCTGAAGACAGCCGCCGAAAGAACGAGGCGCGAAGCGAAGGAACGAAGCGCGGTGCCATGGCCCAAGAGGTTCTACCGCTCACGCCTGCTATTATTGATGTGGCTGTGGGTCAAAACCAACGGTACCATTTTGGTTGGTAGGTGAATTCACCACCCATTTTAGTCTATTTTAGTGGGGATTGGGATGTCCACTGGGGGTACGGGCTCTTGACCCATGGCCATGTGTGTAAAAGTGGACGGCACAATTTGCATTCGGTGCGTAAATTATGGTAAAAGGGAATAGCTAAGCGCAAAATGGGGGAATCGCGCCATCTATTTTCACCCACATGAAGTTGAACTTATGAGAAAACTGCCCAATGAAGACTTGCAACAAGTGTTGCATGGTTGTTGCGCTCCGCGTAAGTGTAGAGGATGGCTACATGGAAGGCACATTGAGCAAGGCTCGTCATCCATAGTCGTCTATATTAGTGAGCGGAACGGCCTCCAATTTTGCATAATAGCTCTCGGCGTCCTGATCCACGTGGGGTGCTGAATATTGATGGCTCAGAGGTCACAACATACACGGCCACGCTCTACAGAAGACACAGTTTGGCTGGGGGTGTCTTATCTGTGCAAATTATAGCAAACTAAACTGGGGAGAATACGAGGTTATTCATGGTTCACTAAGAGGATCCCTTATCCAACTTTTGCGCAGATGAAGCGGATACGCATGGTAGATCAGCGGTCCAAAACGCATCGACAGAGGAGGGGGCTTTTTAGCGTTAGCCCAGCCCGCGAGCTGCTCCAACACGCAAGATTCAGATAAATGCAGGCTACAACAGATATCCTGCAGCGAGCAGCCCCGCCCGACCCTGTTTAGTGGCTGATGATGTACCTGGCGTAGTCAAGCGAGTACATTGGAAAGTCTCTAGAGCATTTCGTTAGGCATGTACAACCAAGCAAGCCACCTCGTATTTGCGCAAATCAGACGCCTGTAGCCAATGAGATACGGTGTCGAAACATGATGCTAAGCTGAGACCAACATCTTGCAAGTAAACACTGCACAGGCCCTGATAGTGATTCAGGGCGCAGGCATGGGATGAGAATCATGGCCATGAAAGTGTGTGTTTTGCTTTTAGCCCCAAAGTCATGTCGCGGAGCATTTGCTTCCATCGAAATCAAGCACTTAGCTGCCTTAGGGGGGGTGGAATCCTCCGCCCCCAACCACCTTCAACGGAAAGAGGGATGGGTAGGTTTTTCTTTAGCGACAGAAGTGCTCGTATACCTCCCCTTTTCCTTGTGTTTGGTGGTTGGCGCTTTGTGGAAGCCATGTTGAGGGACAAGATCCCCTCTTTGGACAGCTTGCAGGCGACGGTCGTGCAGAGATACCTTTCGAGGCGCGAGGTTCAATCGAGCAAGGCACAGGACGCGAGCTGACGACATATTCCAGGAGGGATGTCAACCATAAGACTCACCGGTTTGCCCAATGCGCGTTGCACGACTTCCAATGCGAGCCAGACACCACTTGAGGGTTTCAAGCTGGGAGTTGGTTCATTGGGATGGACAATGGGATAGTCTTGGTCAGGCAAAATTAGGACCCCACTAACAGCAACATTCTTACAGCGAAACTTTCCTCAGAAGTGCAGGGGCCGTTGGTTTCCTTTGCCAGGCCAATGCTCCTTGAGGGCCTGAAATTTGACCTCCGCCTGTACTTCCTCGTCACTGCCAAGAAGGTCCACCAAACAGAGCGGGCAAGCAAGAGTGGTCCGCAAAGCTACGAGTAACTCTATGTACGGGAAGCTGAATGCAGACAAATGGTATGAAGAGATGAAAAAACGTGATGCTGATGATGGCGATGATGATGCTGCTGATGATGATGAGGATGAGGATGCGGATGATGACGACGACGCGCATGACGATGATGATAATGGTGATGATTCAGTGATGATGACGATTACAATGACGATGATGCTGATGCTGCTGCTGATGCTGATGCTGATGTTGATGCTGATGACGATGTCGACGAAGGTGCCATGATGGTGACGGTGACGGTGACGGTGACGGTGACGGTGACGTGCTGCTGCTGCTGCTGATGCTGCTGCTGCTGCTGCTGCTGCTGCTGCTGCTGCTGCTGCTGCTGCTGCTGATATTGATGATGATGCTGATGATGATGATGATGATGGCTGATGATGATGATGATGATGATGATGATGGCTGATGATGATGATGATGATGATGATGATGATGATGATGATGATGATGATGATGATGATGATGATGCTGATGCTGATGCTGATGCTGATGCTGATGCTGATGCTGATGCTGATGCTGATGCTGATGCTGATGCTGATGCTGATGCTGATACTGATACTGATGCTGATGCTGCTGTCGTTGTTGATGATGAGGTGATCATGAAACCACTTGGAGGCCTTAGAGCCACTTACTAAACCACGACTAAAACCTTAGCAGCGCTCGACTCTCGCTACTCGGCAAGGCCTCAACACGCATTTGTGCATGTGCTCCAAAACCTGGGTAAGGCCTTGGTATCGGGGGGAGTTCGTGTCTTGAGATGATGACGGTCAATCAGAGTCAATCAAGAGAGGGGTCCTGCCATGGCGGGCCCAGGCCAGTGGCGAGAAAGGGCTGGACCTTCGCTGCTTCCTTTTCCGCGACGGTCTGGCGCAGCTCTCAGTTTCAGTTTCGTCCATCGGTAGGGCCCGAAATGAGTCGCCTTTTATACTCGCCCGGCTCAACACTCGCATGTTTACAGCGGGGACTGGAAGCAAAGGGAGTTATACGAGTTATGGCGTCACAATGCATTTGGCAGCGCATATTTGAGCCTTGCCATTTTGATGTTTATCACCGGAAGTAGGTGGGGGATCCATTTGGCTGATTGTAAAAGATGAGACTTTTCAACCAGGAATATAGATACCATAAATTTGACACTGCCCTGGGCCGCTGCCCACCCAGAAACCATCACTGTAGACTTTGTGCTTGGTGGATCCTTTGCCCTTGAGCTATGTTGGAAGCTCCTGAACTGGCCCTGGGAAGCAGAAGACCAAAGGACGGCACGCGGGCTATCGTTTGCAGACATTTGATATTATCCTCCTTTCAAGAGCAGTGGTAAATCAGATTGTAGTTGAACGTTCACCAGGTTGTGACACGTGAGGAATCCAGTGTAGCCGCTGTGGCACTGGCGGAATTGCAAGCTCCATGGGGAATAGTCGCCGGGTGACCTGTGACCCAGTTAATAGAAGCACATGGGCCTGGTGAAAACCAGGGGTCAGCTGGGTTTCGGGATATGAGAGAACTAAAACAGTTGCAACTCTGAAAGCCAAGGCCCTGGAAAGCAAGCCTTTGCCTGTGCTTGATGTGGTTTGTGGGTGTGGCTCAAAATTAACCAGGGGGGGGGGCAAACCGCAGGCTTTGGTCCATGTTTCCACTTGCCAGGGTTCCATTTCGGTACCGGTTTTTTGACCCACAGCCATGGGGGTTGCGTAGTGCTATTCTCCAAAATGGGTGACTTGCAAGACTGCGAGTCGAAAGTGAGTTGCACACACCTCGGCGAATATCGCGGAGCCAACTTTCTAGTTCTGGAGCTAAATGGGTGTGTCCAGCACCAGGTTTATTCAGACTGCAATTTTTTGCTGAGTTGTTTTTTTCCTTCAGCTGGCCTCGGCATGGAATCATTGGAGCTCATTGGAGTTGTTTGTTTCGTTCATTGTGGGTGTTGCCGTTTATGCTACAGAGGTGAATGGGGTACGGGTAGGCAGTCGGGCTTATGTTCTGAGACATCTTGGAGCCACAAAACATCATTCAGGTGAGCCCACACGGGATGTCATGGGTTCTAAGGATGCTGGTGCAAGTTTTTCCTTGAACCCCTTTAGGGTCCCCTAACGCATTTGTTGCAAATCGGTCCAAGAGGCGTCAGGTCGGGTCTCGAGGTCCGGCTTTGCACGACCCCGTACAAGCCGCCCACGGCGGAGACGATGAGCCTCGCAGATGACCCGAAACGCCCCCGGGGAACGCCGTTACCCTTGCTCCCAGAAACATAGCATCTGTGGGAGGGTTCCTGGAAGATCAATTTCCTTTTCAAGGCACCCTCTGGCAGGTGCCATGTTGGAGTGAGGGCAACCAGTTTCTGGAAGATGCTTGAAAAGGAGGCGAACGAGAAACCACTGCTTTTGGGCTCTAGCATTTTTAGCTTTGTGATGCTTGGAACATTCTGGAAAATGGTTGGAGGACATAAACCCGGTGTTTGTTTCACTTTCCAAAGTCCTTTCCAATGAAAGATTCTACTGAGACCTCACAATCCCAGGCAGGGGGGGGTCAGAAAGACTGCTTGTTTGCCTGTTTGTTCGATTGTACTTGCCATGAGTTTGTGGGGGAGGGGGGCGGGGGAGGGGGGCGCACTCTCAAGCCTCAATGGTGTTTCTGCATTTCGTGCAGATAAGCTGCGTGCTTCACGATTCGGAGGTTGGTAAGAAATGTCCCCGGCCCCTCCAACAAACTAACACGGTATTGCACGGAAGCTTTAATTCAAAGAGACAGAGAGAGAGAGAGAGAGAGCGAGAGAAGTGTTCCAAAAGAGACATTCTGGTAATATGGGTCTATGGCGTTTAAGTCGTTTCTTTTATCCTGAGGTCGAGGCGCTGACGCAGAACCCAGTTGGAGGGGGTTGGTTGCCACAGGCTTTACACAGCCATGACTCAACTGGAAGTTGCTTGCGGCGCAGACATGTCCACGAGGAATCAGAAATGCATGCACCTGACGAACTACGCTGTGGTGTCCTCAGTCAAGCCGTTTGATCTTGGCCAGGCGCGATGAATCGGGGAGCGACGGGCTTTGCATCGACCACTGCAAAGTCGAATTGGCCTATAGTGCAGGTTTCACCTGAGACTGTTGCTTTGCATTGACCTGATGGAATTTGTGCAGTCCATGTTTGAGTTTTGTCTGAAGATAGGCACCCTCAAGGTAGCTGGTTGCGTTCTCATTTTCTTTGAAATGCCATCCAAAAAGGGGTCCCCCATCATGAGACACACCCACATCCTGCTTTGAGTGAGGTCAACAAAAACAGCGAGAACTTCCAGCAGAACGACGGGGAAGATGACGGAGCTGGCAGCAAGCGCTCCCTGAGGCTGCGGGTTCATCCGACATGTGAGCAAGAGCCCCGCGCAGCTTCAGTGCAGCAACACACTAGAGCAGCTAGTATGCTAGGTCCCCCTTTAAAGACCCTTTGACCCTTTTTGGGGGGGAGGGTTCCCCTACTAAAACAGACTACGGAACAAAAAGGTACCCTTATCTAACCTGTCTACTGGAGCAGCTAGTATGTTTAAGAGACTCAAAGGCAGATGTTATCAGGTGAGCAGCGCCCAAAACCGCCATTGGCCATTGGCCACTTTAGTGTAAAGGTGTGCCTACTAGCCGGTCTGGTGGTTCTAGTAAGGCCCACACATAGCTACACCTGTATGAAGCATCTTTGCAGAGCCCAAAGTCAATCGGATTTGAGCACTACTCACGAGTTGAGTTGAGTGACTGAGATATCTTTTATAGTCACAAGAGCAAACTTCTGAAGGAATCATATGACGGGTGTTTCCAAGCAAGGACTAAGCTGCTACATCATTGCTTGTCTACTTTTCAGAGAAGGGCTCGATTTAGCATGGGCTCAAAGAATCTTGTGAATGGACTGCTTGAATCCGTCCTGACCCACTTTGCGCCAGATGGTTCATGTCCTATGTCGGCGAAACCTTCGGCGAGAAGGCTCCGCTCGCGCAAATCGACCGGGCTGGGTTTGAAATCCACGACTCGGAGATAGGGATCACAAGGCAGACTCAGCAGGTGTCCAGTATTTCCTCTTGGGTTGGTTTAAACAGCATTGGGCCAGTTTAAAGTGGCTAACTCTTGGGGTGACGCTTAGACATGAAATATCGAAATATGGGGTTCGGTGGGCTCGTCCTAATTTGCGCAACTGGCAACACAATGCACAAGAGCATCACGCCTGCAAACAAGGCAGAGTCAAAGCAGGGTTGCTGCATCTTAATGGTCCATGTCAGTTTCCGGGCATCGTATGCCAGTCAGTTGGATGATTTGTCGGGCAGACACTCACCAACCCGTTCAAAGACTCGTAGATTCTGGAAAATATGACTCGTAGTCTATGGTTCATTTGAAAGGAGCAGGAGGGAAGTTGTCAAATGTCCCACAAAAGCAAGGGGTCTGACTGATTCGTCCACGACCTCTTGGGGAGCCATGTTGAACGTGGCTCAAGTGATTCCAACGTTTGGACACAATGAATGTCAGTGGTTTGTCAGATTGGCAAAGCAGCCCCTAGCTTTCTTGTGGCCCCTGCCCAGTGCGACCAGCATAACACACGTATGTCTCAGGGGGTGACTCAGAAGTCTATAAACAATATATATATATATATAGAGGATTACTGTCTTCCCGGTGTCATTGCCACTGTGAGCCTTTTCGGGTGTGATATCACGCGAGAGTACAGTCCAGGTAGTTAATGTTCAGCACTTGCGTGGAATGCAAGCATGCAGCAGATGGGAGAGTCTTCCCTCTGTGATTGAACTATGAACCTCCCAGACACCACACATTGAAGGGAAACCAGAAGGCTGATGCGGTATACCGGCAGGGAAAAATCAAGGGATGTCAGCATAAGCAAAACCTGGTAGTGGGAAGGATGGCTGACCATGGCCTACATTGTCATAGCCTAGTTGAGCAGTGCCCCAAATCCCAACCGCTGTTCCGATTTAGTAGTTGCTTCTACTTTGTTTCGCCGTTGTTCCAGTAAGGCCCAACTCAATCAACATGTCGTTAAAGTCTCTGCTGCCTCTGAGTCAAGAACCCATACCCCAGCAACATGTGCAAGTGCACCAACCCCCCTAGGGCAAAGTCGTCTTACAGGGGTCTGTGCACATGTTACTTGGGAGCCTAGGTTTCGAGGCCGAAAGCTGAAGGGTTTAGCCCAGGAGCGTCGCAAGCTTTGGCTGAAGCTCATGGGCCGGGAGCGCAGCTTTTTGGGGACTCGAGCCACCTCGCGCTGGACCAGCTGGAAGGGGGAAGGCCTCGAACTCTATTTTAAGGCGCATACCCATTTGGCTGTGGCTCAAAAACATGTACAACAATGGCACCTGGCTAAATGGAAACTAAAACTAAAACCTGCGTAACCCCAGGTCTTTAATTTTGAGCCACACCCATTTTTGGTATTGCGAAGTGTTCGTGGTGTTGCCCCGTCTGGGTCATTCACTTCAAACCACTTATGGCGTCATAATACCAAAACAAAAACACTTCCGGCGGTTGCGCTTTCCTATGATTGGACAGATTTGTTTCAAGGGCAAAAACACCCCGGAGATGTCCGGGATTCATGTTGTGCTTGTTTGAGATTGGCAACTGCCAATGTTGCTAGTAGTCTACTGGTTGTATTGAGGGAACATGGAGAAACTTCCCAAACTCCCGCATTTTCCCACCAAAAGGGACGGAACCCCAACTGAACTATTAGCAAGCAACATTGCCCTTTTTCAGGTACCTGTTGCTGATTGCCGTTACTGTATGTCATGTACACTGGTTATGGCGAGCTTAGGGAATGGGTAGAATTGCCGCCATGTAGGTCCCTTGCTCGGGAATGCAGGGCGATTTCAGTCGGCGAGTAGCCAATTGGCCCAGAGGTACCCCTGCTCTGTGTTTTGTTGGGCATTTCTTGAAAATCAACCAACTGGAAAGGTCATCCTTGTTTTTCCTGTGACAGTGGCTGAACCGTGGTGCAGGAGGATGTGCTGTTGGTTTTGTGGAGGCTGAGAGGTGATTTATTTGTCCTAAAATGACGAGAGGCCCGCGGCAATTAAAAGGCCTTCTACAAAATGACGCTGAACTGTGTCCCAGAAAGGGATACCCCCCCGTTTGGCTCTGTTTGATGACCCCCTCACATGCCACCATATGCCACCGACAGTTGTCGGCAGCTGCATGCAATGCCCGGCGTGAGTTGTGACTGGACTGCTTAGTTTCCTGCCAGCAGTGGGTTCCAGGTCGTTTGCCTGAGAATGGGGCATATCGGCATAGCCAACACACCGAGGATGCGAAGCATTCGGCAAGCGCAATTTGACAAGCCACAAAGATTCGAATCTCCAGGGCAGGCTAAGCATTTCACGGCATTTGTGCACCTGAAGCACGCCCCTCCTTGCCATCTCCGCTCTCCGGCCACGAGCTGCCGCTAAAAGCAAGGCTGGGGGATAAGCCAGTGTTCGCCCAAACAGAGGGCATGTGTATGTGAGGGTGGTTCTAAAATGCAGGAACAAAGTACTTACCAAACTTATGTACAGCATGTCTTTGCAGGGCGGCGGTTCCAGCGCGAAAGAGCTGTCAAAACCAAGATTTAGCAACAAATGCCGCATCCACGTGCTTGTTGAACACGTTGTGCTCTCGCGAAAGGCAAGCGGCCAAAGCACAGGCCAAAGTGTAAGTGTTTGTAGCGAACAATATACATGCTGTGCAAGCGCCAACAGAGCAAAGCTCAACACATTTTGGCAGCGTAAGAGCCCTTCAGGTTTTGCAGTGTAAGCCTTGTTTCAGGAGCAGAGTAGGCAATTGCCAACATAAGGCCTCACAGCTTGAGAGTTCAGTTGTTTTCAGCGTGTGGAATCAGAGGCAACCAACAGTGCACCTTGAGTGCTTGGATAGCACACTTAGTTGCCATCAAGCCCGGAAATCACCAAATTCCTCAATTGAATGTCGTGTTTGCAGTGTGCAAGCCCACTGTCAACCTTCCGGTCTGCTGAATCCGGGGCAGTCACTTCTCATCAGTCAAGCAGGAGTCTAGAATCTAAACTGTTGAACTGTTGATCATGTGGGTAGCACGTGTCAAAATTACCGACTTGGGTGGGTTACTAAATGATGACCAAAAGGAGTTACCAACCATCTCATGCATGTGTATGTGTATATATATATACATATAAGCATATCCTGGACTGAGATGTCGAGAGATCAGCGAGCTAAGTATCAAGACGGTTTCCGCAATACGATTCGACGCCTAAATGAGCCGGAGCAGTGTTGCTTATTCTTTGCACGGCAAGCCGCCGACAGGACAACACAGCACAATCATAGTGGGCATGTTCCGACCCAACAAGTCTAAACGTGTTGCGGCATTGCTTTTGATTGACCGGGATTCAACATATTCTACGGCTGATGTGTGGCGATTCCATGCCTTGGAAGTGGGACTAGGTGACAAGCACAGCTTTGACAGCGCTGCCACTGGCTATCAATTGTCAGGACGAATCGTTGGTTTCCTTTTGCTTCGGGCGTTTCGAGAGTACATGGATTTGTTGAGATCAGACTCTGTGTTTGTGATGGGGTTGACTTTGATCACTTCAGCTGCAGCACTTGATATGGATTTCCTCTGACGAATCACTTCCACCATGAAGGCTAGTATCATCCCGGCAATGTATAACTGTACAACTATTCAATTTCAAATATTACAATTGACTTTGGTGAAGGATGATGTGATGCTGACAGCAGTGTTAAGCATGCATTGTCAGCAGAAACGCTATTCAAAGCGTAAGCATTGCAGGTTTCCTTTTGATTTCACCTTCAGCCAATCTGAAAGGGTATACCCTCAAGAAACACAACACCCGTATCGGGAACCCCAGCAGGAAGGTCCGCACAACTTCTGACCTGGCCATGCAATTGCCTCACACGCAGGTGGTGAAGATTTGCAGCGATCCCCCGGAGCATCCACCAAGTCAGACGCTGGCTGGCTCTGGGCTGTGCCTCGGCGGGCTGACGTGTTAGAGACCGGTGACCGATCTCGGGCCCCGCACTCAGAAACCCTCTCCATGTAAACAGGGCTTGACGGGAGGTGCCATACAGGTGTTCCCATATATCTGATTTGTTTAAAACATAACTTTTTGGGGCCACTTGAACTGAGTTTGCGCCATTGGCATTGGGTGGTGTTTGGGGAATAAGGTGCTTTGGCATGGATGCAAGGCGGTTCAACGTGTTGGTCCCCCCCCCGATTTCACAAAGATGTGTGCTTACTGCCGCAAGGGTGAGCCTCTTAATTTGCAGGCCCCTGGAACAAATTAGTTGATGTATGCAACTTATCCTGCTCGCATTTGAAGCCAGCGTGGCAAGCCAACCAAGTCAGCATGGAGAGCTCATGATATATTGATGTGTCGTGTCCTGCCTGACAAGGGTGGAACACATGCATGTAGAGCAAAGCGGGACCACTTGCTGTTGGCTGAAAGCCAGGGGTGAAACATGACTCTTCGCTTGCAAACATCTGAGAGGTACAAAGCAGGCGGAGGGAAAGTCTATTTGGTCGTATCCCGTATAGGGGCCCTTTCCCATTTTCCCTTTGTGGGTTCCAGGGAAACAACGTATGGCAGGGCCTACTTGGTTCGCAAAGAGGATGGGGATCGGCAAGAATGTGCCATGGTCGTTGGCTTTTTGGCACTTGGGGTTCTGCTTGTTTTGACAGCAGTCGTTTGGCAAACATGACAACCATTTTTTCCCGCAAAGAAGCAAACCTGAGATTGTTCAAACTTAAAAGACACGCCTGACCAGGGCTGTTTCTCTCACTTAGGACTGGCTGCTGCAGACTCCATGGCTGCGGACCGTTTGAAGGCGAATCGGTGTGCTTACTCGCCGCTTGCAGGAGTTTCCGTTTCAGGGCAACACATGTTGGCCAGTTCTGGGAATAGTAGACATTCGTTCGAGGTTCGCCTGGCCTGCCCTACTGGCCACGTTTGTTTGGCCCTCATTTGAGGGTCAGGGGTGGGGGGATTTGGAGACATTGGCCCGAGAGCTTCTTGGGATGTTTCCAGGCCCTTTTTGGGACCCCACATGAAGCAGGTCCTTGCCAAAACTACGAGTCCTTGATGATGGGCTTCAAATTTACGGACTCCGGCAGAGTGGGTCGATCTGCTTTCCGATCCTCCTACTGTTTGTTGTTCTACAGCTTCACCCCGAGATTGGTCCAACAAAATCCCGCTTGAGATGCATTCTGGGCGCCTTCCCCTCAACACAATCCAAAGGAGACGTGCTCAAAGGCGGCCCAAATCTTTTCAGCCACCAGCTTGGTTTGATGGATGATGGACCCTTGAGGCCAGCCACTCGTTTGTGCAAGGAGCCATGCCGAAATTCACTCGGCTCACTTCCTGAGTTTTTGGACTTGAGTCACTTTTTGGGTTTGGACCATTTTGGTTCACAAAAAGATAGTTTTTGGGTATGGACCAGTTTAGTACAAACAGATACTTTTTGGGGAAGACCATTTGAGTGGCAAAACAAATTAAGCCCTGGTTGATTTTGATTGGGGGGTGTCCGCTTTGAGTGGGGATTCGGACCCCTTTTGGAGGGAACACCCTGCTAACAATGGGACGGGTCATTCATCCTGGGCCGACATTAAGCCATCCCCTGGTTCGATTCGGCGCTCCAGGTGAGCTATCTGGATTGTGCCAGGACGGCGGTTTCAGAGAATGCCCCAGCCTGAGAGATTGACAGCTGGCAGGGGTTGATTCCTTTGCCATTCTTTTCAACCAACCTTCTTTTCAACAGCCAGCTGTTTCCCTGGGTTTTGATGGTTTCCTGAAAAGAATGATTCCTGGAAAGAATGGGGAAGGTAGCACTAGACTGATGGCCGAGTTGCCGTGCTTTGTAAATAGTCCAATCTTAAGCGACCAAGGGACCCCTTTGAAAACTTTGTACCCCCCAAAAGCCATCCTCAGGAGGTAGCTTTTGGACCCGTTGGGGGGGGGTTGGCCATCCTCAGGAGGTAGCTTTTGGACCCTTTGGGGGGGGGTTAGCCATCCTCAGGAGGTAGCTTTTGGACCCGTTGGGGGGGGTTGGCCATCCTCAGGAGGTAGCTTTTGGACCCTTTGGGGGGGGTTAGCCATCCTCAGGAGGTAGCTTTTGGACCCGTTGGGGGGGGTTAGCCATCCTCAGGAGGTAGCTTTTGGACCCTTTGGGGGGGGTTAGCCATCCTCAGGAGGTAGCTTTTGGACCCTTTCGGGGGGGTTGGCCATCCTCAGGAGGTAGCTTTTGGACCCTTTGGGGGGGGTTGGCCATCCTCAGGAGGTAGCTTTTGGACCCGTTGGGGGGGGTTGGCCATCCTCAGGAGGTAGCTTTTGGACCCTTTGGGGGGGGTTAGCCATCTCAGGAGGTAGCTTTTGGACCCGTTGGGGGGGGTTGGCCATCCTCAGGAGGTAGCTTTTGGACCCTTTGGGGGGGGTTAGCCATCCTCAGGTACCTTTTGGACCCTTCGGGAAGTCCTTCCGATTTTCCCCGAGCCAGGCGTCTCACTCGTTGCGTCTCGGGCTCGTTGCTGTAGGCGGGGCTCGAGAAGCAACGTCTCGAGGCGCGGGTCTCAGACCTCCAGGGAGCCGAAGCCATGGATCCCGGCACAAGGCTTGGATAGAATCAAGGTCTCAAAGATTAGCCCTAAGCACAAACCTGAGAACAAAAATACCAAAAGGGTTTCATGGGAAATGACTCCCAACCTCTCCAGTAAGGATAACTAAATGGAACTAAAGGGTTGGATGGCATCTAAGCAACTAGACTTTAATGGAACTAACGAATAAATAAATAATAATAAAAGAAACTAAAGGGTTTCATGGCATCTAAATAAGTAACTTAACTAATAACACCAAAGAATAAATTCTACAGGCGTTCATGGATGACAGCTCCATGGAAGATGTCTCCCAACCTCTCCAGTTGCTTGAGGACTCCGAGCTCCAAGCGCGAGACTCCAAGAAGACGGGGCCCCGGTTGCCCGGTGTCGCTTCGAGGGTCTCAACTGGCACTCGGGGAAATGGTGCTGCAAAGGCGGGGTCCAAAAGACATGGTTATGTAAAGAGTAAACAAAACCATATGACGGTTGTCGTTTTTGGTGCCTTTTTCGCGGGGTGGTTCAATGTGTTGTTGTTTTTTTTTTGTTTTTTTCCTTTGTTGGCTGTCAAGGGATTCTGGCACTATACTGGAAACATATTTTCTTTTCCCAGGAGGCTCATTACGCAAATGGAAGTTCATCAAGCTCCAAATGGGTGTGTGTCAAAGTTAAACCACCAGGGGACCGCAGGTTTTAGTCCTTGCATGGTACCATTTACCAGGGTTCCATGTTGGGTACCCATTTTTGACCCACCGCCAAATAGCTTCGCCCTCCCATTTCCTGGTTTAGGGCGGGTGAGACGGGCGCTCACGCGGATCTCCGCCGAGGAAGCACCACACCACCAAGTCGGGGCTCCCTGCCTTGAGCAGAAGGTCGAGGCCCCAGCGGTCGAGCGTTGGGTCGGAGGTTTTTTCTTTTTTTTTTCAATATATATATATATATTATATTTCTTACTGACCATGGTATGCTAGGTCCCTTTGGGACTGTTTGAATAAGTTCTTTGAGAGTTCTTTGGGAGCGGTTTATCACCGATGGCGATTTTAGGCCATTCTTTCGGATCCCATGGGTTGGAGGCCATGAAGCCATGTGCCAAGCTCACCGAGTCGGGGGTAGAAGCAAACAACCCTGATGAAGACCTTTTCACTCAGGGACTATAAGGGATGGATCCCTTATGGTTCTCTTGGGAAATTATGGTTTTTGCAGAATGGCTTCTCTTGGTGTGCCAAACGAGCAGTTCATACCAAGAGATTCGTATGTGAGACATTCAGCAACCCAACGTTGGAGAATTATTTCAGAGTAGTCCGTTCCCCTAATAATCGAGGACCCCCCTAACAATAAATAAGGTCTGGGGGACAAAACACATTTATTAAGAGGGTACCTTGGGGTCAGATGGGCTCCCCGGAGACACAGATACTCATCTTTTGAAGGCGAAAACCGAGCTGTTCAAATGGTTTGTACAAACTTTGAAAGAGAATGCCGTTTCGCTTTTGATTGGTTTCGGCAAGCACACGCCAGTTCAGGGGTGCAGGGCAAGAAAGACCGACAATCAGGACAGTCAGGACCGACAGTCAGGACACTGTTTCCTTTTGGTCCCAAACATCCCTTTGCTCCCTAATAAGACTGGGTCTGGTCTGGGCGGAGACATCGGACAGCTTAGTATTGGTTTTGAATTGGCCTATTCTGATAGTAGTATTGGGGACCCGGCTGTTTCAGCCAATTTGGAGAAATAGTATTTGAGCAACAGGCAACTCTCTGTTCAAAGGACATGTCTTCAGTGGCTTTGCGGTTCGTTGGTTGGTCAGAATATTGCAAAACCATGTAAAACTATATAGGGACCTCCAAAGAACGATATCATTGCTTTTCCGGGTTTTGTGCCGCCGTGACTCAGATAGGCTGCACTTTAAGATTGCGCAGAGTCCACGAGGGTGCGTTTATTAAAAGGGGGCGGATTATCGATCGGGTCCGTCTTTTTGGGTCCAGGTCCGGTCTCTCACGGCCAATTAGTTTCCAGATGCCGGCGGCTTTTCCTGAAACGCAGAATGTTTCAGGCAACACTTGATCGGTTCGGATTGGTCTGAAGGTTTGAACCCCTAGAGGGTAAATGGGAAACCCACATCCCAACCAATTCCACACCAAGAGGGAAGCTGTTCCTCGTGTTTCCTTGCAGTATGTTCCTTTGTTGGTGAAACCTTCGCAAGGCGCATGCCTGAGATATTCCCCCGAAAAGAACAATTCGTATGAAGGCAGGCGGTACCCCTAATACAAGGACCTCGTTCCCCGATGCGGGTGTCCTTTGCAGGTACCCTCCCTCCCACTAACATAGCAACTGCTAGAGGGCACCTGGAAGATCATTTTCCTCAAGGGACCCCCTGTCAGGTGCCATGTGGGAGGGAGGGTATATTGGCAAAAAATGGGGCGGTCCCGGGTGTTTCGCAGTTGGAGATGAGGATGGCCTGTCAGCACTGTCCGTTTCCGCAGGTCGCACATGTCTGTTGGATCTTCCGTGCCGGAAGTGCCGGCGCCACAGTCGAGGTGCTTCAGTCGGACCACTTTTTTCTTCTTGTTTTTTTAATACGTACATTCAGTTAGGGCAAAGAGAGATGCAGAGGGAGTAGTATGAGGATAGAATGCTTGAGTGTGGCTGGCAGGTGAATAGCAGTCGACTGATGTTGCACCATCGATGATTTGTTGCAAGTAGGAAGCAGGCAACGTCAGAAAATGTATTTTCAGCAACCAGCTATGAGGCCAGTACCAAAGAACTCGCTTGAGGTTCACTTCATGAAGCCTCTAGTAGGTGGCTTGTGGTCGTTGTTGCCTGGCTTTGGGCTACTTTTTGGGTTGCACCCCGTTTAACTTTAAGCAGTTCAAGTCTTTCTGTTTGGCTTTAGAGGCTGCGATCCATCGGCAAATCTGTCTAGCGACAAAGGGTTTGATTCGAGAATCATCACGTTTCCTCTCTAGGATGTTCTTTTTTTAGAATTGGCTGTGGCTCAATGACATGTACCCAAATTTTAAGTGGCACCTTGGCAAATGAAACCAAAGACCAAAACCCGCGCAACCCTAGCTCTTTAATTTTGAGCCACACCCGATTGTAATTGATTGAAAAGGATTGTCCATTCTGCCAGGCCTGAGGCTGCATTTGCTCTGCACTCATGCCAAGCTCTCTGCACGAGAAGAGAACCTGCGATTACGGACCTGAGGTTGGTCCTTGATGACATCCTCGGCTGTACTTTCTCCCTTTTGCACTTGTCTTTTCTTAGAGGGTGCCCTTTTTGGGATTGTGTAAAAGGGAAACCACCTGGAAATCGCCCATGTGTTGGGTTTGGGGATGGCTCAGGTTGTCCCCAATGCCTCCCACTCGGAGCGTGCATTCAGTTCCCGAGACTCAAGGCTCGAGAAATTTCGACTCGGGGAGCTTTGGCCTATGGCCTGGGCATGTTGGTTCGTCGGGGATCCCCACAGGCAGGGTTTTGGTTTCCTATATTCTCCTCTGGGTTTTAAACATCACGCTCCTGGACTTCGTTTGCTTATGCCGGTTTCAATTAATTACTCAGGGAAAGGGGGATCAAAAGTAGGGACAGTTTTTACGGACCCATTTCGGTGCCATGCTGCCTCTACATACAGCAGGCCACTGTTTTGTCCACTTATTTCCTGCCATGAATCTCAACACGCACTTGAAAAGGCAGCCTTCAAAACGGAGAGTCAGTGTGCTTGGTCTGTCTTCTAGGTAGGATACGCTTCGGTGTTTCCTTAACGCAGGTGAATAAGCACCCAGTGGCAAGCATGCTGCCATCCGTTGATGAAAGCCCATGTTGCCAGGATCGTCCACAAGGGGTGCCATTGGGGTTCAGTCAAAAGATGAGTTTTTAATGAGCCTTGGAAAGTTGAATCCGTTGTGCCCGTGCGGGAATCGTAGCTCTGAGCGCGTTGGCGCAGCAAACGCTGTTTCCGCTTGGTTTCAAACCAGGAACCCGGCGGTTGGAGTGAGCGACATCCGCAGTCAGACGAAGCGATTCCGCAGGGCTGCTGGAAAACCACTACATCACGACTAGAGAGTTGGGCCTTGCGCCCAGGAACTGGCAATCAGTTGGCTTCTTACCTTCAGGTTATACCTAATGGTGACCCCCCCGGCTACGTAGCCCCTTCAGAGTATTGCGAACTTCCAAAACCTTCATTTCTGGAGGAACTTACTTTTGCGAGAACCCCTTGTGGGGTTCCATGTTTGTTTTTCAGGGAAGTAGCTACTATAGCTTGCCTGGAAGCGATGGGTCAGCTTTAAAGCTCATGCGCAATCCGCTCCCCCTAACAACAGTACATGTCCCCAGGCTAAGTGAAGCAAACTAAACGGGGAGAAGTCAGAAACCCACACGGCCACTTGCTGTGTTTAAGACTTTAGTGTAGGTCCTGCCATGAGCAACCAAAACTCTTTGTTTTCAGTAAAGCGTTTAAATGTGAATGGCAAGATGGTGCTCTTTCAAAACTAACGCTTTCTGACTGCTGGCTGTGTATTGGCTTTGATTTGGCCTATTCTAATTTGATGTTGGGGACGCTGACATTTTGCAAGAACATGTCTTATTATTCGGGGGACCTTATTGCTTGCCAAGTGTTTTGCAAAAGGGGGTAGCATGGCTTGGTCTTTACATGAGGGGAGCCCCAGAATGAGGATTTTGTTCCAAAACCAATCAAACTACTTCACCCGCAAACAAAACCCACATTCGACCCGCAGACTACCAGGGATGTGGTGCTAGAGACAAGCTTTCTCCCCCATGACCAAGGCAAAGGCTCCTACGGCGTGGTGTACTGCGTGCGGCATAGGACAAGATCGTTTCTCCAGGTCATTGTGCCGAAAGGAAGTTCTTCTTGATGAGGCCAACTGACCTAAAACAGGGAGCTGAGAAGGGAGAGGGATGACATTTCGTGATGCTTTCCTGCACCACACGATCCCACCCTTGAACAGCACCCTTCCTTTAGACCTTTGCAAGGCCTTCCAATCAGCTCATTCTTCTGAACTAAGGGAAAGGCTTGGGAAGCATTTGGGTCAATGGGGTAATCCCGAGTGGATCCGGCAGTTCTTTGGGAAGGTATCACGCGCAGAATGTTTTGCGGTTTGTGCCATGGTTCGTCCGCTTTGGGCACTTTGGGCACAATGGCTGCTGATGGGTCGGACGTTTGTTTGCTTTGTGTCTTTGTTTGTTGGTTTTGTTGTTTGGTTTGTTTGTTTGTTTGTTTGTTTGTTTGTTTGTTTGTTTGTTTGTTTGTTTGTTTGTTTGTTTGTTTGTGTGTTTGTTTTCTCGCTTGCCTGCTTGCTTGTTTGCTCGCGTACTTGCTTGTTTGGAGCCCCTGTGTCTCTGAGTGTGTGTGTGTGTGTGTCACTCACAGACCCCAGCGGCGGTCAAGCGGCCTTGGGGGGAGGCATGGTACAGAAAGGCTTCATGTTGAAGGACCGATTGTCCCTTTTTCATGTGGGAGGGCAGGTGTTGGCAATCAATCTTTGGCATAGCGACGCTGGGCGTCAATAATTGAACCCTAGACAACGGTTGACATTCAGCAAGTCAGCAATAGTTAGTGCGGTCGCATTTTGCTGCAGATTGGGAGGCGCATAAGCTCCTTGATTGGGTTGTTGACCAAGACTGAAGTTCTATTCCCGGCCCTGCAGGAAGAATGGGGAGCACAGGGCACTGAAATCTGTGGCCATCAACAAGCTGGAGGACATTCATGTATGTCCGAGTCGAAGGGGGAGATAAAAAAAAGGGAATTCGCTGTTCAGATGAGTGAAACCCTTGCCGCTGGAGGGTGCAACCAATCTTGAGAACCAGCACTGATATCTGTGAAGAAGCCAGATCCGCCCCCAACTTTGCAATTGCGAGCGTGAAATTGCCCGTGAGGTGCGATCATTCGGCGAACCTGTGTATTAGGATTATTAGGAGGGATGCTCACCAACCACGGGTCCAGAATGCAATGAAGAAACCTTTTCAGCGGTTCCTGGAATGAGGGACCGTTTTGGGGATGGTCGTTACAAGGAAGCCTGAAGGAAAAATGTCTACACGTTGGTCCAAGTGCTATGGGCCGTACCAGGAAACTGACTGAACTACCCACCTGGGTCCCCCTTCCTTTGCAAAACTACATGCACCTTGTGCGTGTGGCGTTACTTGGGCCGAAATGCTGGCAACATTCTAAGACAATGTCCGGCCCCCAAACCACAACTGCCATCCAGGGAGACCCACTGGGGAAGTAAGTCACAGAGGCGAGCCACAGCCAGACCTGTTTTGTGGATCTAGGGAAAGGGAACAGCGAAGCTTGGGTATGAAGCTCATCCTTTAGCATTGGTCCCCGCACAAGGGGCACGCAACAAGCTTTTTTTTCTGGGCAAACTTAGCTCAAGCACAAGCAAGGTTGCATAGATACCCTATCTCCAACGATCATGGACCAGTGGAAGCTGACATGAGGTTTTGTACGACGATTTTCGTTTTGAGGGATGCCCCTGTTCTCTTCTATGATTGCAAAATGGGTACCCTCAGAAACATTGGGTCTTTAGACGAAAATTGTCCAAGCGAAACGATCCCTGTCTGGTTCCATGTTTGTTTGTGGGAGGGCAATTTGTGTTGGCCCAATCCTGTCTCTGGAGCATGTTCAACTGGACGGTCCCAATTTGGGTGTCCCTTCCAGGTGCCAGCGGGTCATTTGTTGGTTTTCCCGCAACCATCCACCAAACTGCTGCGTTCTTTTTTTTGGACACAGTCCCTGTTGGTTGTGTATGTTTAGCTTCGAACTTTGCACTGTGATCGTGCGGTATTTTGATAGAACAGGCCATAGGCTGCCCTTGGAGATCGATTTGGGTGAACATGGATGGCAATGGGTCACGTTTGGTTCTTATCATCCACCAGTGCCATCAATTACGAGCGCATCACCACGTTTTCAATTAGAGCGTTTGATCCAAGTTTGATGAAGATCAGGCAAACGACGGTTGTAAGTTATTCCTACAGGGAATAAACCCGCAAACTACTAAACAAGAAGGAAACACCATAATTGATTCTTAACAGGGGTCATTTTGTTCAGTCCCTTGCACCAGCCTGTCTTGCTTGGAACCCCAGACACTGGCACGACTCGCGGGTCCAGGAGCCGCGGCACTTCAAGGATGAGCTGGAGATCGCCAGACGGCTGAACCACCCGTGCCCCGAAGCTTCGGGCTGGCGGGGGGCTTCAGAACTGGAGACTGTGAGGCTCGTAGCCGAGGGATTTTTGCAACAGAAGGGAACCCCAGCCCCCCCCCCCCCCCGGAAAAAAGAAGCAGCGACAACAGCGGGCGAAACAGGGGTGTGTGCTTGTACACGCCCAAGTTTCCCTGACTTGGGGGTAGACACCCTCTTAACTCCCACTCGCGGTTACTTGGTTAGCCTTGCTTTGAGCGAACCATTCCGCAGTGCAGGTGGGCTGGAAGAATTTGAAGCCGAGTGCAGGATGCTTGTCATCAACAGCCCCTTACATTCCACCAATTTGGTGATTTGTGGGACTTGCGTGCCACTTGGACGCTCTTTTGTAGAGGAAACCGTTTTCCCAAGAGTTTCATTGCACGAGGCCTTGTGCACCGAACCGACCAGTTGAACCGATACGGAAGGGGGGGGAGTTTGACGCTTGCAGCAGCCGTTGGTGATATTTGTGTAATGGGATCCGCTGGGCCAGGTACGTAGTTAAGCTGTACGAGGTCTTTCAGACGGGCGAATGCGTTCATTTGGCCAGCAGCCAAGCCCGCCGTGCGGTGCACGCTTCACAGATCGTGGTTCGCAGTGGCTATTTGCTTGACTTGATCCCGATCCATCTCACAATTTATGAGATGGGCATCCTCAACCACGGGGCCCTGTCCCATACATTTTCCCGGATTTTGATGCCAGGGAAATCATGGAGGGTGCAGACGTTTTTTCAACTCAGGGCATAGGGGATTAAACACCATTGAGGGGATGCTCTTTATTCATTCGGCGCGTCGGGTCATGTCTGCTGGTGTGGAAACAAGCTCCACCGAAAGAGACAAACAGGCACTGCTTTTCTTTGCAAAGTCTCAGAAGGAAGCGCGAAAAGACCTGCGACCCACACGACAGACTGAGTATGGCGCTCGCAATCCTCAAAGCCGATATCGTTTGACCCTGTGGTTTTCTCCGCTTGGAATTGAGGTCGAAATCGAGAAGCTGTAGATTGATGTTTCTTGGTGCCATTCGTCCTTGGAATTCCTGTGGTTGGAATTTAGGTTGAGACAATCGAGAAGCTGTAGATTGAATGGGTGCCATTCCTTGAGGCTGCGACCCAGGATAGAAACACTGTTGTTGTTGGGGAACATTTTACATTTTTGCTTATCGCGGTTTAGTGGGAAATCCCCAATTAATTGCTAAAACCAAATCTTTGCTCCCCTTGCATCGTCAACCAAATAAACAGCAAGGGACCCCTTCTGTGTGGCTTCCTGGACCCCGCCCCCCCGCTCCCCCCGAGATCCTTTGGCAATCGGACCTTCGAAGTTTCGCCCCCCAAAAAAGAGCGATCGTTGAAATAGGTGTTGTTTATGACCATGACATATATGAAATGATAGAAAGATGATCAAGAGAAGAAATGACACAGATTTCCGAAACTGGAAGCAGCACTTTTTATACGGGTGGCAAGGTCTTAATGAATCATTTGCGCAAGTCTGCCAACATTGAAATGAGCCCACTTCTGAACATCCATCTAGATTGACCTGACATCCCTTATATAAGCAGCATCCGTTATAAGCAGCAGGTGCGGGTTTAGAGGGGGGTGCATATATAAATATATATACATATATATAATATATATAATATATATATATATAGCATCTTACGTGTTTCCATTCGCCTTTTTCCATGGCAGGAAAGACTTCCCTAGTGCTTAGCGGCTTTTGTCATTGACCGAGGTCATGGAACTTTGCGAAGGCGGTACTTTGGCCGACATGCTCGCGGCAGCCTCGGCTCAATGTTTGGTGGCCTGAAGCCTTTGACTTGGGGGGTCTTGGTTCAAACACCCTACTTGTTTACATGGGAACGGGCCAGATGGGCATGGAAGCTTATTGGTGGGATCTAGATGATGGTAGAGATTCCCTTTGATCATGGCTGAGAAGTTTTGACCAAGGTGTTTCTCGAGGTGTGGGATACCCTGGCAATGATTGTTTGGTTTCCCGTGGCTTTTCTACATTGTTTCCCCGCGGGCGTCATAGTCACAGAAGGAGCTGCAATCCAAAGGTCGCACTTGTTTTTTTCCGGACTGTTTTTTTGTTTCAAAAAAAAACGGACAGCCGGTTTGGAGTTTTTGCCATATCCCCATGGTCTCCACTCACTTCCGTGTCGTAAAGAAATTGGAGTCCACTGGGGTGTCCTACAACTGTAAATGTGTTGCACCCTTTTTGGATGGTGCTGAAGGTGACAACATGGGGTCCCTGATTTTTCGCACAACAAATGCCACCAGGTTTTTGGACTACGGGTCGATGCAGCAATCTCACCAAGGCGTCTGCCAATGCTGCTGCTGTCAAGGCAGTGCTTCCAAATCTTCTTTGAACTTGCGGGCGTGCATGAATTTGGTTGGACCCCTTTCGGACACTGTTTTAATGGAAGAGACATTAAAAACCACCCCGCCATTCTTGGGCGGAACGATTGAACTTTCAATCCACAGTTAGTCTAAGTCTATTACTATATATTCTTCAGCTCCTGCAATTACCCAGTTGGGTGTGTCTTTGACTTAGGACTCCCAAATTGGTGGTGTTCCCTTTGCTTCAAAACCACCCAAAATAGGGTCCCTCAAAGAAAAAATACCCGGAGTTAGGGTCCCTTCATGGGGTCACATCGTATCGCCAGGCAGACGGCCGAGGGGCGCGGGACAAGTGGTCCAACGAGATCATTGGCCGCGGGCCCAAACGTCGCAGATTCGCAGAGCGTCCTTTCGGATGCTAGACACATTGTCCTTTTGGTGCTTTTGTGCCACAGATTCCAGAGCCGTACCTTGAAAGTTCTCGAATGGCCTTCACCCGGAAAAAAGTTTGAAGTACATTGTTTAGCTGCGGGCAAAGCTGAGGTACCTCAGCCAGTCTTGGCCGCGCCATGCTTTGACCTGAAAGCTCTTCACCTGGATCACGATCATTTTCCCACGAAGAACTTGGTGCGAAGAGATTGGCTCTCTAGGGAGTCAAAGACCAACTCAGCAATCTCGAGCCACACAAGAAGTTTGCCCTATACAGCCCGGAGCAAATCTGGTCTTTCATGTTGGGAAGGGAAGACCTCACGGGTACGAGCCTGGTGACAGACCTGTTGTATACCTCACTTGCAGCCACGACGAATCAACCTCAAGTGAAGTGTTGGTTTCAAACAGAGTTCGATTTTTTGAGGATTTAAAAGGCTGTCCTTGCTTGCAAGCAGGTTCAATGTGATGTTATCATTGCTCTGGTAGGGATCCTCCGGATCTTTCTAGATGACCCCTTGCTTCCAGCAGAAGGCTTGACCATGGCTGAGATGAACGAGTGGCCTTGTGATGCCTGCACTGTTTCGCGGAGAACTTACCGTGATCTGTTTTGTGATTGCCCGCGTTTCTTGGCCATGCCTATGCTTGTGTTGTGAAACATTGACAGTGCTTGATCTTCCGCAGCTTGCCAAACTTGACTTTGCGCCCAGGTAGGTTCATGCGAGGATCTCAGTGCATCTTTCCTGGCCAGTCGCAAGGGTTGCCTGCAAAACGACTGGTCCGTTTGGCAATCATTAGACACGCGGAATGTATGTTTGGTTTCATTCCAGTGAAACCTGTCAAAAGAGAGGCGGGGCAGTTCAAGCCAGCCCCCGCAGCGGTCGGAACTGCACCGAACTGGGGGTCCCTTTTGGGCTTTGCCCATGGGGGACGTAGCGAGGGTTGTGAGAAATTACCCTTTTGTCGCCCTCAAGGCATCTTGGCATTCTTGTGCTGTCTTTTACAGGGGCCACATATTATTCCCCTGCATAGCCAGGTTTCAATTACCCCCCATTTGCCACTCGGGCGATTGCCTGTGGGAGTTTGGTCATGACTCGCAAAGCTGGACTAGCTCTTCCCGCCCCCCCCCCCCCCCCAAACAGAGAAGCAAGCACGCAAACACAGCACAACATAAACACAAGGCAAGACACACACACACACACCATCTCTCACCCACACACACTCCGAGTCCCCAAGTGTTTTGCTAGACTTTGGTCCCTTGAGGTGGCAGATGCTGTCGGCCATCGCTTATTTGCATCATCACCGCATCATCCACAGGGACATCAAGCCTGAGAACTACCTCGTGCCCTCCAAAAAGTCGGCGGGTTCGAGGTGGACCCAAAGCGAAGACAGAGCTTCCAGTTGCCTGGGTGCCCCCGTTTTCCAATGTTGACGTGTCGCGGATGGTAAGCCGCGACCAGGATTGGTTTTGCGAGATTTTGCGGTTCCGGGTGGGTACATATCCTAGGGGTACTGGGGAGCCGGACCAAATCGGCCGGGTTGGAAAGGGCCCCCCTGAATAAGTCGGTGGACATTGCCCTTGGTCGTTTTCACGTTTTTTTTGGGCGGGAAAGGGGGCATGCCTTTAGTGAACAGCGGTTCTGCACCGGTTCTTTTGCTGGGTGGTTTCACTACCTAGTTTGGAAGCTGATAGTCAGGCCTGCGTGGCAGAACTAAAAGGGAAGCGGGTGTCGTGGCCGTCAGGGAAGGATGCAGATGCCTCGTTCTGTTTTGTCGTGTACTGTTTGGGTGTTCCTAGTTCTTCAGCAACCCCCTCATTCACCCCTTACAAAACATCCTCATTTGGGATTTGCCCTTTTTCGCGGCATGGTGCAGGCAGTCGGAAGTTCGGAAGGATGCAGATGTAATAAATTGGCTATGTGACATGCTTCATCATGGTTTGTTTCAAAAGAGTTGGGAACCTCTCGTGGTTGGATGGCTTAGTGAAACACTCGCCCACTGCAGGCCAAGCATTTCGAGAGGCAATAGGGGTTAGCCTCATTTTCCGGAAGGCTTGGCACAGTCGGGTCGTGGGACAATGAGAAACGCGCGGAAGATGGTGTTTCATGGGCTGAACATGAGGTAAGTCGACCCCGATTTCCCAGTTGTGTCTTCTTGTTTGGGGTTCGAACCTCTGTTGAACGTGTGGTTGCAAAGGGGAATCCAAAAGACCACTCTCGAGGGATGCCGAGCCAATTTTGTGACACACCCATTTGCCTGAAGTTGGTGATTTGCCAAGTCTGACTTACCTATGATACTATGGCTACCAACCCGAGACAAGTCAAGGGAAGAAAACAACCAGGAAAGCCTTTGGTCAGTTCCGTGATTTTTTGTTTATCCGTTTGGAGCTCCGAAGATTTCTGCGACATTGAACTTGCCGCACCTGGCAGGTACAGAAGCAAAGGGGGGTGATGTTTCTCAAGCTCGCAGACTTCGGGCTTGCTTGCCACTTCAAGAAAGGCGGCTGACCTTCTGAGTTCGAGCTTTGGCTTTCGGAAACATCTCTCGCTCCTTCTGTGTCAAAACGGACTCTTTTGATCATAACAAACATCAACGTGAACCGAGAACACCGGCCAATGAGTTGGTTTGACAGACACTGAGAGGCTTGAAACGGCACAGGTCGCTTGCGTCAAGTGGGCTCAACTCACAGGCCGACCTATGAAGGAGATCCTGGGGACTCCGTGCTACGTCGCCCCTGAGGCGCACGCGCTCGCGCAGGGCGCACTGGCTGGGAAGTGGTCAACTTTCAACAAATGGAGGTAAGGTTTTCTGTTTCGATACCAAGGGAATCGCATTTAACATCATACAGTTGTCGCGGAAATGCGAATTCACATCTTGTAATCATAGAAATGTAAGATGTTCCACAACCATGTCCAAATCTGGTGATATATTCCATCCTCGGTGTCTTTTGCTATCGTCTGAAATCATTGGACCAGGAATGTCTCAAGCCTTTTGATGCATTCCCAGCATTTCAGGCGAGGGGATCCAGTTCGACATAGGATGGCACTTGGATGGGTGAAGGACGCAGTCTGCGTGTCTATGTTTTATGGGCATGTTTGCAAGTTGCACAAGTCGCGAAGCGGAAAGCGCCCTGAAGGAACAGGGCCAAGGTTCCCCATAAACGGAAATGTGCCATCTACTCTCATCCAACTTGAGAGCCGCTTCGAGGATCAACGGTGACCTTTCAGGTCTGAGTTGTTATAACTCACCCACCTATGCTATTTCCTGCCTGACAGACCGTTTCGGCAAGCCATGGCTTGAGCATTGGGGCTACTTTGGGCACCTTCTGCAAGAGTTGGGCGCGTCGGGACTCCACCCCAAAGAACCCCGATTCGGAATTCGGACCCCTCGAAATGGAGTGCCATGTTTTGGTTCGGCCGTCAAAGGTCCAAGCTTAGCACGTGGGTCTTTGGTCTTATCGCATCCGCTCGCGCGTAAAGGGACGTGCCAAAGGGCATCCTGCCAGGTACTTCTCGGACGCTACGACGAGCGATGTGATGTTTGGAGCGTGGGCGTGGTGTCCTTTGTGCTTTGCACAGGCGGAAGCCCCAAAGCTTTGGTCAGAGCTTTGCCGATTTGCTCCATGCCATGGGGGTGATGTTTACCATAGGCAACCAAAGGAACGCGGTTCGGACATCGGAAGACGAGCTCATATTTGATCTCAAAAGCAACAGGGACAGAGCCCAAATAAGCAAGCAGTTGCCGCGAGCTGTGGAGAACCCGGTTGCAGCTTGAGGCCACCATCCCTTTGCCTATGGAAAGTCGGACACAGCCAAGGCCGTCGCTGGGCGTGGTGCATGAATGGAACACGTGCGATGTGCCTGGTCGAAATTACCACAATATCAGCTACATACAACAGATTGTCCATCATACCATCATTACCGTGATTACCTTTTCCCATCATTACCTATCATTGGTTGATAGGAGGGCCGGAACATAACTTCCAAATACACGCGAGGGATGCGCACCGCGCCAACTTTATGCTTGACACGCAGCCAGTTTCTCCCTGTCCCCAAGCCTGCTTTTGACCTTCTGGTTTCCCATGTCAAGCAATTTTTTGTTGAGTCATGGCCCCCAAAGGTCAGTCCTTCATTTCCAGTGGCAAGTGAGATGTGGCCTGCCAAAAGGTGAATCCGCCATGCAGATATGTTCTTGGCAAGTGAACTGGAAGCTCAGTTGCATTGCACTGAAACCTTATGGCCAGAAGAAGAAGGAACAGCACTGCTTGCAAGAAGGACACTCCTAGACTCTGCATTCTTTGCACGAGCTACCATGTTGAGTCGCAAGGCCTCCAGTCAGCTTGACTTTCAGGTTGTCCTCCAGAGGATAAAGGACAACGACATGGATGCAGCGGACCGGGGTGCTCATGCCACGCCTTGGCTGCTTTGGACCCACCCGGCAGTGTTAGCAACAGGTTTCGGGTTTTTGCCGGGCATAGATCGGTGCAGACCCAAAACATGTTTCTGGCCTGTAGTTGCTATGCTCCACCTTGCCCTTCACAAGCAAGTTTGTTGGCAAAGCGCGTCTGGCTCCCATTGGTTGCAGGATGATCATTGGAGTCAAGTTCACCAGGAGGCGCCAGACCCGATGACGGTACCCGGTACCATGCCACCATGCTCATTTTTGTCGAACGCTGTCACGGATCTTTTTCGCTAGAGTGATGAATGCCATGTTGTTGAGATCGATAATGTTGTTTGTTCCCCGCGTAGAGCGCTGAACAGCATCATTTGGGTTTGTTGGGTGTATTCACATTACGTATTCCCTACAGCGATGCACGCGATCATCCGGGCTCTAGTCTGTCTAGGGTTACTGAATTCAATGCGCTCAAGACTTCAACAGCAAGATGCTCGTGAGGACCAACCAAGACCTGCTTTCCTAGAGCGAGGAAAACAACAACACATTCTGTCACTGTCCGTTGGGCTTCATCGCACGGCGCGCACCGTAGAGAGATGTCAGGTTTGTTTTCTGGGATGAATCGCATTTCGCTCGTTTGGCGGGCTTTGGACCAGCGCGCTTCTTGTATTGTGGGTTTGCTATGTAACCAGCAACTGATAGTGAGGCCCGCAGGATGTGTTTGACCAGGTTGGTGGAACCAAAAGTCATGCGAATTGGCTTTGCCTTGACGGCATTCTGCCACTTCTTTTTTCCGTGGAGAAAAAATGGGTGTTGTGTTTCGAGGATACCCCCTTTTGGAGTGGGATTAAACACACAAGGAAACCACTCACTTTTGGGGGTCTCCTAATAGGTTTAAGACACACCCGTATGTGGCCATGATGAATGCTTGCGGACAGCATCATGTCTTGTCATTGCTTTGCAGGCCAAAGACCTGACATTCAAGATGATGACGCGAGTGCCGTGGGCAATGCTTTGCCGGTCGCTGACGATCTGGCCTTGGTTTCAGTTGATTTGCCTTTGAGGGCAAACTGCTGTGATTTGGTGACATAACTAAACTGAACTCCGATCTCACTTATGACAAATAGTCCTTTCCTTGCTTCCAGCGCATAAGTTTACTCTGGAGGACAAAGGATCGCGGAGATGTTGCTTAGAGCAATAGGAATGTTTGCTACATGGGCACAGCTCAATCCCGGACATGACCGTTCAGAATGCCTTGGAGTTCCCTCGCTGACCCTGTTACTGGTTGGTCAGCCACTTCTCCGCGCGCAGATTATAAGGCCCATGTATGAACTGCAAACTTTGTCTAATCATTTTTTGTGTTTCTCAGACAAGTATTTTCTAACAGTTTTTGTATTACACCCTGGGAATACACCCACTGGGTATTGACCCCATTTAGGCACATTTCCGGATAAAACCGTGTTATGTTGAACCATTCTGGGTCATTTCCAAAGGGTGTAATCCCAGTGAGTAACACAAAACACCAAGATACTTGTTTCCTTGGGAACACACTCCAGGCTGGGAAGCGGGCTTGTTTGAGAAGGTAGAGCAACAAGCAAGTCGCCATTTCTGTGATTCGGCTTTCCTTGTCAGTTCAGCCAACCAGGCTCTGGGCTTTATCTTCCCCAACCACTGCTGGAAATTTCCCGATTGAAGCCTTTCGGGGTTTAGTCGACAGACATGGGCATAGATAAAGTAGGATACATTTTACCTGTGACTCAAAGTGAAGCAAACAAAAGAGAAGATACATTCTATAACTGAGCCTAGCTCATGAAAATACTGGTTGAAGTTCTTGGACATCTTGCATCGCTTGGTTTAAGCCAGGTGTCCTTTTGACGACTCAAACACTTCCAGCCCATGGTTGGTTTGCCTCAACCAAAAACTTGCCCAAAACGGCGCCAAACCGTTTTCCCCAACAAAAACGCCAGGCCACACCGAAAACTTGAACCCACCCACCCAAAACCCAAAGACCCAAAGACATCCAAAGACCCACCGAAGCCCCCGACGCCCAAACCCATCGCCAGGACCCAGAGGAGCGGCCCAAGGCGAAGCTGCTGCTGGCGGGCAGCAGCTGGCTGCAGGAGCACGACGTGCCCTTCAGGCGCTCGCTGGGCGGCTGGGCGGTTTGGCCGGTTTCGCCGGGGCTCGCGGCTCGCGTTTTGGTCGCCCGCTTTGGGTTTTTACAGACAAAAAAAAAAAAAAAGAAGCGCGCGGAATACAGCTGGAGGCGATTCGAGTACCGGGCGGTTTTGGGGGGTGTTAATTTGTGGTTTGACTGTTGCGGTACGCCAAATTTAGCATTTGGTGATAAATCAGAGGGCTCGCACAAAGGAATTTGGGGCAACATAAGAATTGTTCTGTCTTCGAGAGGAATTATGCACTCTCTTGTTTGCGTCAATGTTGATACATTGCAATCAAAGGGTGGTGTCCTCAGGATCGTGGCTTATGCATGTCGAAACATTTGTTCAGCATCAGTCCGCTCGTATGCAGTCCGATGCTTGATTTGTGTGAAGCTGCAAGCTACCAGTCTTTGAGTACTCACATTTTGTATGTGCATGTTCAATGATGTATAGACAAATTCTATACATGCAGATGTGTGATTATCACAGTATGTCTAATATATATATATATATGTTTATACATATTTACTTATTACGGCAGCAGAAAAAAGAGAGAGAGAGAGACAGAGTGAGGGAGAAGCAGAGAGAAAAAGAGCAAGAGCGAAAGAGAGAGAGAGAGAGATAAAAAAAAAAGCGTCGGGGAGATATTGCCACGCTGACCTGGGACTTCCAGCTGTGGCGCCAGGTGTGAGCCGGCCAAGCACCAGCATAGCTGCTGCGTCGTGAGTTAGGATCCGTGAGTTTGACCACTTGGGGCCGCACCCGACGAATGTACGTTCAAAACCTTCTATATATATGAGGGCCGTCCTAAAACCCCAGTCTTCGGTTTTAATTATCGCCGAACGAGGAGAAGCAAAAGTTGTCAAAAGCTGTGCGCGCGCAAGGAGCGCGCAAGTGCCGCCCAAGGGACGCGCAAGGCTACAGTTTTGAAGGGTTTCATGTACCGATGTTGCCGAGCTTCATGAAAGGAGGTGATATCTTCTTGCTGTACTTGTGTTTTTCGAATGTTGCTTGGGTCATGTGTAGGTCACAAGCTTGTTTGCAAAGGTGCGGTGTTTTCTTCAGTCAGGCGCCAAACGAAGCCAAAGCTTCTGCGGTCATGACTTCCACAATCAGCAACTGACACGACAAAATCGGCGCAAGCCGCGCGCAAGTTGCGCGCAAGCACGAGAAGCCCCAGCAAGACATCTAGCCATGCTGTCTCGGATATCCTTAGCGGTGCGGTTCAAGCAATGGATAGGCACCCGCAACATGCACTTTCCTTCTTTCAGGCTGTGTCCAAGCTGTGTGGCAGAGCCTGCTATCCTTTCTGTTGGGTCAAGGGTATGTTGCTGGCGTTGAATTGCCGGGAGCGACCTCAGCGGGAAGATTCTTTGTGGGTTGCTGTGTGAACGACAAACACACTGCTTAGAAAAGCTTGCGCGCAATCCACACGAAAACTCCGCAAACCGAGGTCGACGAAAACGAGTTTCTGCGCCACTGTGCGCGCGCAAGTCCGCGCAAGTGTCGCGCAAGTGCGGCCCAAGGGCCCAATCCCGGGCAAAGGAATATAGGACAACCCCCATTTACACATATACTTATGAACGCAAACTCTAAGATAGTTTGTCGACGTAAACTCATACATGTAAATACTCCTCGGCAAAAGAACTCCAATCAACATCCATGTGCAAATGAGCCACAATCAAAACCAATATAGATGAAGGTTAGGGGCAGTCCCAGCCGGAAATAGTTGCGGCCGCCTTCCTAATTCTTTACATGGCTCTGGGTAGACCATTTTTGTACCGGGTTTTGATTGTGACTCAAATGAGCACGTCCCACATTAGGGAAGGGCCCCCCGTTCCAAATAGGTGGTTTGTTGGGGTCCATGTACACGCCATCCCGAAAAGGGCTTTCCTTTGCGGGAAACACCCAATTCAAGAGATCAAACTGGTTGATCTCGTTCGAAGTCTTTGAGGGTGCGATCTCAGAACTCCAAACCTGGAATGCACAGATTGGCCAGTAGAAAGCTGACCCCGAGAAGCGAATAGCAACAAGCTATGCTGTTGCGAAGCTCTCTTGGTGTTCAGGTCATTTTGCTTCAGCCTTGCGCTGCCATCATCCAGCCTGGGCCGTGTACAGGTGGCTGTTTTGGACCAGGGCGAGTGGTTCTGGTGTTTGCATTCAACGGACCAATCCAGGGAATGTCATTGATTTCAACAAGCCCGGGTGAGAAATGAGGCCTGTCTGAAATTTGACTGTTTAATTTCCGTGCATGAGGGCTGCTGCTAGAGTTCCCATCTCTCACACTCCCTCTGGCCCTGGAGGATCATTCAAGGCTTTCAGGGTCGACCCATAGGTGGATGCACCGCTCCAAGTGGGCATCCACTTGCGGGCTAGTCGCTGAATTTTGCGCAGAGCACCTGCTTCCAAGAAGAGGTTACAATGTGAGGCCGTCTCAAATGAATACGATTTCAAGCAAGCTTTGGGAGCAAGCAGTCGGTTGCACCAGGTTGCTTACATCAGGTCAGGTTTTCACGTCAACCAGTGAGGGTCCCGGTTCCCAGAGCTTGGAGCTTGGACGGTCGAGTGGTTGCCATGGACCTCGGTGGAGGAAACTCGTCACTTTGAGCCATGCCATGTTGGACGAAAGTCGTGTCACGCAATGGTTCGATGTCAAGCCCTGGCACAAGGAATTCGCACAACCACAGTGAGCTGGTTGATCAGTTCAGGGCTTTCCATGTGACCGTTCCCCCTTTGAGCGATTTCAGGGCTTCGAAAGAGCTTTCCACGTTGAAAGAGGGTCTATATTTTATTTGAAGCTAGAAAGGGGAACGAAGGGTGCCCCTCGTATTGAGGAGGCTTTTTACGCTTAAACGAGGAGTGCCGACCTGTCTTCGCAACCAGGGAAGCAATGAGGCCCGCAACTTGATTTTGCCCAGAACAGGAAATTAAGGATCCCATTGTTTGAAGTTTTTTTCGCGCTTAAAGAAGTCCAGCTTGAATTTGGGCAATGGGGGAACTGGTCGACGGGAAACGCCCTGGATCAGTCTGCAATTCAAAGGTGCGGCAGCGAGTCCAGGGCTCGCGACCGAAGTTGCAAAAGAATCGCTTGCTGTCTTTTGAGTGGCGTGGAAGCCACAGTAGAACCCCGGATTTCCAGCAGAGTAACGCGGAACCTCAAAGCCCATTTGTTTAATGGAGTATTCCTCTTACATGTACCCTTTTGTGGGTTCCATGTTAGTTCGGTTGGGAATAAGTGAAACTTCTTGAGGAACAGACCCAAGTAGAACTTGGTGCGGGAATCCGCGCGCGGTTGTTTTCAGTGCGTTGGAAGCATCCAGGGTAGCCCCAAGAGACCACGCGCGGTCATGGTTGCACTGGATTGCAGGAAGGGTTCAATGACTCTCAAAGAAGAACTCCATAGGCTGATTTGGCCCTTACATGAACCATGAACATTTTGGTATCTTGGATCAATAGCCGTGCTTTGGATTCTGGAGGCAGAATATGTTGCATGCATGGCACAGAGACTGCGGAATTTGGCAATGACTTGCCGTGCTTCACTCGGGGCACTCGGGAAGTCATTTGTGGAAATGGGCTGGTCTCAGAACAGGGCAACTCTCAAAAATGAAAGTATTTCTTTTAGTGTCCCTGTTGAACAAAAACTACTGACCCAAATGGCTTCGTGCGTGGAGGTTGCCAGCTCACCTGAGGTCTGTGCATGAAAACCGTGCTCATGGTCAAACCCACGCTGGAGGCCTTGTTATCGGCACTCTCTCGCTCAGGGCAGATTTGGAGACCCCGCAAAACAGACCCCCCCCCCAGCACACTCCCTTGGGGAGGACTAAGATAGAACAAATATGGAGGTGTTCTTTGGGTGTGGTGTACGTGGAGGAGGAGAGGAGTCAAGACTCACCAGCTCAGGGGTCTTTTTGCCCTACCATCCTACCGCCTGCCTTTGGATTCGAAATACAACAAGGACACAGAGTTGGGTGTTTTTTGTTTTTTCTCGTTTTCTCAGGGCGCCACTTTCAGGTTGGTTTAAAGGGGAATAAGAAATGAAACCACTGGAGTTTCCTGGCAAGCTTTTCCGTGGATTCCGCCGCAGACGGAGTACGATGGAGCCTTCCCTCGAGACTTGTCCGGAGGTCAGATGGGATGCAGGCGGGCGACGTTTGTGCAACGCTCACATCCAGCTGGCTTATTTATATATATATATATGTATGTATATATATATGTATGTATATATATATACATACACCTAACAGTGATATATACACATATATGGAGTGGGTCACATAACAACATCACGACAGAAAAACAACTAATTGCGTAAAGCCTTACTTGCGTAGACAAAAAAGTATTGCAAGGCCTTACAAGGAGTCTTACAGGGCCAACAAGGATTCTTACAAGGCCTTGTAGGGACTCTTACAAGGCCTTACGCAGAGTCTTACAAGGACGAACAAACTGCCTTACAAGGCCTTACAAAGCAGAGTCCTTGCAAGGCCTTGTATCCTTGTAAGGCCTTGTAAGAATCCTTGGACCTTTTGCAAGGGCTTGTCGTCCTTGAATCCTTGTAAGCCCTTGTAAGAATCCTTGTCAGGCCTTGTCAGAGTCCTTGTGAGGCAAGGCCTTGTAAAAATCCCTGTAAGGCCTTGTAAAAGTCAAGTCCTTCTAAGGCGTTTCAAGACTCCTTGGACTCATCCTTTGCACGGCCTTGTAAGAGTCCTTGTCAGGCCTTGTAAGAATCCTTGTAAGGCCTTGCAAGAGTCCTTGTAAGCGTCACCGTAACGTGTTTTTGCGATCAGTCATTTTTGTTCGCAATTAAGCGCCTTTGTTTTTGCAATTAGGCGTTCTGTTTCGTAGTTAGGCGCGTTTTTTTTTTTTTTTTTCTTCGCAATTAGAGCACGCCCTTTGTTGAAATGTATATATATATATATATGCATATGGCAGCTGAATCATCACTAGTAAAATGTTGGCGCTGGGGGCATGGCCACTTATGTACATATGTATGTGAATATGTATACAGACTGCATTGACTGCACTAGCTTCCTTTTTTGCATCGGTCTCCCTCTTTTAATAGGGTTACGTAGCTCTGAGACTAGTTGAGTAAATGTCCAGTTTTTGTTTTTGAAGAAGAGAGCCGGGGGGGGGAAGGCGCCTGAGCCATCAGAAAGCTTGCATGCCTACGTAAGTGTCCAGACCTTGAAAGCGACAGTCGAGGTGACTAGTCGCTGGTCTTGTGTCGAGGATAGTAGACCAGGTGGCAGGATAACGTTCATCATCCAATGTGAGAATTTGGGTAGGTGTCAAAGCGGGAGGACCCACCAATATTTTGGAGATCCTTCTGTTGTTTTAGTGTTTTTTTTTGACCAACCAGAAAATGGTACTGTCAAAACAAACCGAACTTATTTGACTCACCTCTTGTAAACGTCCTGTGTCCTGTTGGTTTCACGTGCCACTTTTGCCCGCTCCCAGTTGTAAGGCATGGTTCATGCGAGAGCATCGATTTGCTCAAAAGTTGCCTCAGCGTCAGCTTGCCCTGTTGCAACAGATACGGAGAGGCGTCAGTTCAGGGCAGTCAAGGATTGAGTGAAGTTGGGCTAAAGATCCACATCATGAGCTTGAGGAAATGGACATTCTAAGATGGCAAATATTGCCACGGATTGAGGCAATTGGGCAAGCATCGTGCCGCCGAATGTACCAGAAGCGTTGGCAAAGGAGAAGAGAGGAGTTTTCTTGCGAGCACCAGACTGCAATTTCTTGACACGGTTTGCTTCCGGCATCCATTCCTTCTCCATCTT